TGTAGTTAAAGAAATTGTGCGCCATTTCCATAATATAAGGCTCTTTGAAACTTCTATATCATGTATAAATGCTGAGACAGAAGCTATCAGGAGCACCCTTAATCGGTGTAGCGCATTTTTGTGCAATCAATGAATTAGATTAGGCTGAGATAAGAAGGCAAAACTAGAACCAACTGACGGCTCTTAGTTCAGATACCGTTGCCACCGGTACTCCTGGGTCAACTTGGCGACGACAAGAAGAAAAAGACGGTTCTGGTGTATGGACATTTAGGTAAATTTTTTGCCATTAGAAACGATTTTACGATTAATTTCTAAGATCATTGTTTTCCAGATGTACAGCCAGCAGCAAAGGAAGACGGCTGGAATACGGAGCCATTCATGTTAAGCGAAAGTGGTTCGGTGCGATTTGAGGCATTAGTCCCTTGATTATATCCACTCACTGCATGTGATATGCACGTTAAATTTACATAAGAGAACCTCAAAGCAATAGACCATTTTCGCAATTAATGGCAACAGCCGGGTTCATCGTAAGAGAAATGTAACGAACTATTGACCACGGTTGCGGGCATGAGTGCGAAGTCCGTTAATGCTCTTCCTAAACAGATAGAAAGGTCTTCATATTGGCTTTAGATATTGAAAAGTAAAACAGCACGCGATATTGAAGATCATCTCGTATGTGAGGAGCCTTATCTGAATAACAGCCATATGTCCTGGGCTTAAATAAGGTGGTGAAAAGGTGGTAAACCGCAATTTTATTGCAACAACGTTTTTCCATAGCTGCTATCAGTAGGGGGCTCTGCATGCGCGACGCGTGACTCCCATGAGGCGGGCGAGACCACCGAGGCGTACGTAAGCAGCTGACGTACCAACCTCAGAATGATTTGAGAAATTCTCTTTGACAATGTTGAATGTTTATAGCACTTTTAGCACTTTAGCACTTCATCTGACCCGTCATCGCTGCGTTTTTTTTTTCACTGTGTGGATCCCAGTACTTCTAGCATTCAAATATATACCCATTGATGTAGAGTGATGTGCAAAACTCATGCGTCAGGCGGGAGTAGAACCCCCACCACACTCTTTCCGGGAGCGCGTGCTCTATCCGTTACACTGCTAACATCCATATTGCACACCAATCCTTCTACGCTACAGCGCATCCTGGTTGAGCGGGTCTCCTTGCAATCTTCGGGGTAGCTTTGCTGTGGCGTTCCATAAGACGCTGTTGTCGACTGCCGGAGAGAAGTGAGGGGTGGACATTTACTCCACCCGCTCCGTGACCAACATCACAACCACTCGGCCACGGCATACCCTGAATGTTTATGGCGAGATTTTATAAAACGAGTCGCGTGTAAGGACAAAATTTCAGGCCATTTCTAATCTATCTGCAAACTCGTCTGCTTTGATAAGTTCTTCTGAGTAAGCAGATACTTTGAATTGATTTGATCCAAACAGCTTACTTCTATAGGTAACAAGTTGTTCGGGCGCGGTGCATCAGACGACAAGGGGCCAGTTCTGTGCTGGATCCACGCTGTCAAGATGCTGCAGAAACACAAAGTGGAATTACCCGTCAACATCAAGGTGGGAGGCTGGTATCTGTTGTTCTTATAAAAAAAGAGCATAAAGCGAAGATACAAATACGTGAGGTTGATCGCGGATCCATAAATTTTCAATGAATCGAAGGAGTCAAATATGATGTCAGTGGAGTTTTCTTGTACGTGATTGGCATACAGAATGTTTCTATTGCCCTTTGTATACTCAACACAATACCTTCCACACTCTCTGTGACTCCATCAAGGTTAATACCATCTACAGTGTACGCTTACTTATGACTAATATGAGACCTTGTCATGGAAAATCTGCTCAATTCACAAACGGTCCCCAACTGTTACTGAAAGTCATCCATGACAGTCCATGCATGAACTAAAAGAAGTGGTCGGTAGAGCCTTCGTTTTCAAAGTTTTCTTCATTGTTTCAAAAAAGACAGGTCCAACGTCAAGTGAACCAATAAGTACTTGTTAGTTGATCATAGAGGAATTTTCCATAAGCATCCGTCCCCAATTGACCCTTAACATAGCCAATCATCGTTATTTTCTTCCATTTGAACTTGATGCATTCAGTTTTAGAGACCTGTTCACATCAAAATCTTACAGTTCTGCTTTGAAGCGATGGAGGAGAGTGGATCAATTGGGTTGGAAGGAGTCTTGGAGAAGAATAAGAAGAAATTTTTCGCTGACGTGGATTTCACATGCATCTCAGACAGTTATTGGCTGGGGACGACAAAACCGTGCCTCACAAACGGCTTAAGGCAAGCTCCTTCCAATCGTTTACTCTTGATGTGTATGGAACGTGTTCGCTTTATAATTGGCATGAGGTTATATCAGAATCTTTCAAATGAATCTGAAGCTTTGGAAATTCTGTGCTGAGCGAGAATGTGGTTAAATGTAGAAGTTATCAAAAAAGTACGGACCTAAATTATTGATTGACACTGGAAAATCATTCAGAAACTAAGTAAAACGTGTTTTAGAGGTATTTGCTCGTTCAAAGTGGAAGTAACTGGACTGCAACAAGATCTGCATTCTGGAGTTTACGGAGGCGTTGTGTGAGTTTTATCTTCTAACTTTTGTTTCTTTTTGCTTACTCTCAATGTTATTGATATATGCATCAACTGCAAATTTCATTTTCGCTCTTACCGTAATTTGATGTTTTTTCTGAAACTAAATTCAGTCTCTTCAGTCGTAGAGATTTGTGCTATCGAGTGAGTATTAGTATAAGCATAGTAAATATATCCATAGACCTTAATCGAGTAAATAAAGCTAACTGAGTGCGAAACATGATTTTATTTTTGCTGTTACAGTGTAATAAGAAGGCCTTTTTCAGAAAAAGTACAATGTTGAAATTTCCAAAAATCAGGCTTCGAATTTTTGCTAAAAATTCAAGTAAATAGGGTGCGTGGAAAAGGTCTTTGAAATTGAGTGGTGAGAAGGCTTGCCACCATCCGCAAAGCGTTAGTAATTTCTCACATTATGAGTTTTTTCAGACATGAACCGCTCGCCGACCTACTGTGGGTGATGTCTCAATTAACCTCGGTGGATAATAGGATTTTGATTCCCGGTTAGGATACTGGTATTTTGAGCATCTTAGGTTTCTTATTAATATGCTTTTTCTTAGATAGAGAATTCAGGAATCTATGACGATGTTGCACCGATGACTGTTGAAGAAAGTGCTCTTTATGATAAAATTGACTTCAATGTCCAAGAGTTCCGCGAGAGCATTGGTGCACGAAAATTTACCCACAGAAGACAAGAAAACATTGCTCATTAGACGTTGGCGAGAGCCATGGTACATAAATATTCTATGAGGTCTAAAAGGTATTTCTTGTTTAAACAACAATTACAGTCTGTCGGTTCACGGGATTGAGGGAGCGTTCTCAGGAATTGGAGAAAAAACCGTCATTCCGTCCCGAGTCGTCGGAAACTTTTCCATCAGGACTGTCCCTTACATGGAGCCTGAAAAAGTAAAGTTTTTAGCGGTAAAATACAAGCTTTTTATGTGAATGTGCATTCTATCAGGTGAACAAAATGGTTATCGATTTCCTCAATGAATTGTGGAGGCGTAGAGGCTCTCCGAACATATTTAGGTGAGAAATCTTTCCAATCACTTGCAATGCGCTAGTCGATGTTCATTTCAGACCTCATCTCGGTCATCATGCCCTACCATGGGTGGCAGACCCAAATGACGCAAATTTCAAAGCCGGTGAACGGGCGATGAAGCTCGGTATTGTTTTTTTTTTACCAATCTTGTAAAAATAGTCAGCATTGCGAAAAAAACTGATCTCTCATCTTAAGTGCATGGCGTGGATCCTGACTACATTCGCGAAGGCTGCACTATTCCAATTACGCTGACTTTCCAAGTAGGCCTTTCCATTATTGCTCTTCTATCATGATTAACTTTCCTGATGAAGAACTTGATGAAATTTTTAGGAGTTGACAGGCAAAAGCGTACTACTGCTTCCACTAGGCGCCGCTGATGATATGGCACATTCGCAAAATGAAAAGATTAACAAAACGAATTATGTGGATGGTGTAAAAACACTCCTTGCTTATCTTGTTGAACTAGGAAAGGCTTAGAGTGTAAGTAGTATCAATGGATCCTTTCGTGGTTGTGTTTATAGAACTGTTCCATAGAAAGCTATTCGATGTTAGGCTTTGAAATTATCTCTTAATATGAATGATAGTAGTGCAATAAATAGTGAATGGATGCATCTATATCCCTGTAAATCTGTGACAGATTTGTGAAAAACTTATACATTTTCATTGAGAGTTAAAGAACCCATAATTCACAGCAAGTACATAGACGAGAAAGTGACATTCTGTTTTCTTGAGGACAGTGATGAAATTGCGTGTGGTACATTCGCAATAGTGGTTTGCTAACAGCTACTATTTAGATCTACTACTTACTCACGAATGCTCATTGAAAAACGTTCGCTATAATGATGCTGCTCATTTTTTCTAAGTCTTCAACATCTAGATTCAGTGTAGGGGAGGCTTCCATAAACTTCATTGTCACAGCTCAAATCTGAAACTTCTAAATCCACCCTGAAGTCCTGCATATATAACTCAATGAGACTCATTCAAAGTATTCAATAACGTTATAAGAGAAACTTCATAATCTTTATAGATTGCACAACATATGCAACAAGGATATCGGTGTAGAGAAAAACGACAAAGATATTTTACTATACTAATGAAGTAGTAATCTGCAAGGTGATGAACTATGGCAAGTGCATGTATTTCAGAGCGTTCTACTCAGTGGAGGTCGGTAATAATAGCTTGGGCAGATAAATTCATACCGGGGACGCGTGCTGCTACCATTACACCACCGAGGCACATTTGCGTCATTACTCATTCTTCCACATCTCTATGTTAGCTATCAGCCACCAACCTTCAACAGATTTGGTCGGGTATGCGACTTCGCTTTATAAACGCAGGTGAGCTGACAAATGTGCCTCGGTGGTGTAGTGGTAGTAGCACGCGTCCAGGGTATGGATGAAGCGAGGGGTTCGATTCCCGCCTGAGGCCGTTTTTGCTCACCACTCAATTTTCCTAGGTATATATGAAACGTAGTATCACTGCGAAATATACAGCAAAAATACTAGAAAGTGGGAAAAAAATTCTCAAGAATTCTATGAAGTTAATAATATCAACATATAGTATATCTCTGTCGTAAATTTCTGTTCGAACATTCCTGTAATGAATTCTTATAATAGCTCAGTGGATTGAACAAAATCGTTGTAGAACACTTGATCGCTTTATGCTTGGCAGTACTTTCTTGTGAGGGAAATTATTGAAATGTTCAGTTATGTGTTAGTGATTTTGTGTAAAAGACTAGCATTGCTTCTCTTCGTAATGATCCATTGATGCTAACTGGATTGATAGAGATAATCTGATTACTAAGAGCACATGAGGCATAGTTTAATAACTTAAGCCTCGATGCAGTGCATTCTGGACATTGACGTTGCACACTGTCACGCAACAAACGTAGTGTTCTCGTTTGGTAAATTTTGGTTTCTGACATTGGAAGCAATTGTGCATTATTCAGTTTTCTAACAACAGTTTTTTTGGCAATATCGATTTACATGCCTTCAAAGCTACAGTTCTTCATCCGTCAAAGTCTTCACATGTTATTCGTGTCCCTGCAGTGCTTTCACTCGTTTATTTGCATTACAACTTATATCCGCGGAAGCGGTCGATTTTGTACGTGGGTTGAGTGCGAGGAATTGATTCTTGATACTCACCCTTTACCGACAAGTTGATTATCTCTCAAGCGATCGCTGGAATTTCAAAACAGCAGGGGCACTCTAATGTTTACAGCTCCTTCAACTATTGTCATCCTCAATGGATAAGAAAGATGATTGTTGCCTTGCAGGATTCTTTCAGGACGACAGCGAAGTCTGACGATTAGTTAAATCGATCGACGACCACCTAGGTATTTCACGAAATGATTGAATTCTTTTGCAACATATGATTCACTGTATGCAAGTGGTCAAAATTACTCTTTCCGAGCATCTTGTCTTGCAACGCTATATTCAGTCAGGGAGTGCACTGATGAAATTTACGCACAGACATTTAGGCTCCTAAAGGACGCCTCTACTTTCTCCTATTCAGGAATAGTTCATACTCTGCGGTTTTTTGTGCTTAGCAACGCTTTTTTTCATGACTGACCTAGCTAGCTCTTTAAGGACCATGCGGTACGTTTCGTGCCGTGCGGAGCGACTTCAAACCTCACTCAGCTACTGTAATGGCAACGTCGCGCAACCGTCAGAAAGGCGGTGAATCTCATGGTAAGAGAGACGCAGACGGCATGCATCGACCCTTCTACACGTAGAGTTGCCTGCCACCGTATCTGAAGAACTCAGGGATGAGGATACGAGGAGATAAACCCAGGTTTCGAGGGACCATTATCATCATGAAATGATGGAATTTCATTGATAAAGCTTCTACACAGATAATCTCTAGTGAAAAGCACATCTGTATCTTCCATATCCCGTCTATATTTCTTATGTTTCAATGAGAAAATCACATCGTTAATTATTATGATAAGACAATGATAATGATGATAAATGTATTTCGAGTGAAAATAACGCGCATTTCCTTTTCAATGAAAGGAGCGCTAGTGGCACAGTGGTTAGGTGCGCTGCATCGCTCACAAGGATCGATGGTTCGATCTCGCGCTCATGGCTCACCATGCCATAAATCCTCTCCGAGGTCCACAAGATAAACCAGGGGCGCATCATGTACTGATGGGCCTACCAAAGTCACCTACCCCCATCTCAATGAAATTAATTGTAGAGGTGAGAACTGGATGAGGTGCAAGAAATTATCTGATCATACCCAATAATGTAGAGTGCTGTGCAAAAACATTTGCGTCAGCCGGGATTCGAACCCAGATGTCACTCTTTCCAGGAGCGTATGCTAACGTTGCACCACCAACGCTGGTGCTTCAATTGGGATCTGAATAGCCTAGTGGACTAAAAGGAGCAAGTAAAGCAAGTGAAATGGCAAGGATTGAAGCAATAAATATTGTTTATAGTTGAGATCGATCAAGAAATTCCATTGTATTGCAACTTGCGAAATTCATTTTCACCAAACAAACCATGTTTTGCAATTGTTTTCGCATGATCTTGTCATTTTCTTTGAGTTACAGCCTCTGGTTGCTTCCCAGGGACTGGTTGTCCATACCCAAGGCGTACTCTTCTCTGCCTTTGTTCTCACTCCCAGCCTCCTCACGGTCTCAGTCAGCTACTGTTACGCACGACGTCTCGTATCGTGGGAGCGCCGACGCCGGAAAGTACAACATTCTCGTACAGGACGCTGATGCACCTCTGGTTGCCGCGCAGCGACGGCGCGACGCCGCCTGCCTATCAGTGCTGGTCCTTGAAGGCTAGCTACATTCGCAATCGTGCTTCAAACCAATAAATAACTGGTGTGTGTTCTATGATCCAAGCCACATCACGAATTGTTTTCATTCTCAAGCATAGTTGAATGGACAGAGACGAAAAGAGATAAGAAGAATTAGTGATAAGTGAAATCGATTTGCTTAGCAGCCGCAATATCTTCACTAAATCATTCATGATAACGCGAAGTTTTCATATGTAGAGCTTGACGAGATTGGTACCTTTATAAATCACCACTGGATCTTCACAGCGACATGCCAGAATAGCACGCGTAATCTGAAATTTGTAAAATAGAATGAAGTTAATTTTAAAACTGATTTTTCTGACTTCCTTGTTCCTATGTGGCCTGATTTTGAACAGCTCGAAGGGAGTTTGGCTGTTAGCCATTGAAAATGTGACCAAGAGATTGTAGAGGACTCACTGAGAATGCGGTCAGCGATTATTTTCATTTTTATTCACTAGAGTCCATTTTCTGAACTATCGCTTTCCAGCAGGAATATGTATTGACATTATCGAGTGTTGATACGTTTTTGCTGCCTGTTGGCATTATAAAAAGGAAGAGATATTGTGTATCCTTCTAGTTGTGATTGTTTCGAAGACATAGTTAGCCAGAACATCTATCTTTTATGGATTCAGAAAAGTATTTTTGATTAATCAGAGCATATAACAACTCCTGCGCAGTTTGTTGCTATTTTACACCTTTTCGATTCGTGACTACCAATAGTGTCGATCATTTAGGTACCATGATAAGGACGTCTGCATTGGATTCTTTCGGTTGTATCGCGGCGACAGTTCCACGGGTCAAGTGTCCGCTACTCGGAGATGGCAGGCAATGACCTATGGCAATCAGTTGCATATCGTTGCCGTTAACATTGCCGTACCGCTTGTTGAGTGCTCAATTGCCGTCGAGATGCGGTCTGTACTATTGTGAGTTCTGTACCTCAAGTATCCACCATGCGATGGAGATTTGCAATAAGTCATGCGTGGGGCAAAGCATCCAGTACCATTTTGGTCACCTCCCTCCCTTGATCCCCCCCTCCCCTTGCCTTGAATGCATAATCCCCATGGCCCGTCTGTATACAGACTCCCTGGATGCCACCCTCGTTGCAAACTCCACGGCGAATGCTTGGAAGCATTCCGCTCTCCACGGCTGGTGTTGTGCCTCACTGCCATGACGATAGTACACCGCATAAATAACTGGGCATTGACTCTGGAGTGTCTCCGCTGCTCTGGTTGTGGCACTTTCACTTTTACATTTCGCTTGTTTACTAAGACCAGTTTTTCGATTCCTTTACTCACGGATCAATCTTCCATCATCTTTAACAGGTCTTTACCACTCTTGAATCTCTCTTCCAAAGTTTTATCCTTGTCATATGATGGGACGGCTTGCTGCTCCTTGCCTGTTGTCCTTTCAATCCTATTGCGTGCTCATACTTCATCGATTATGTCGTACTGTGGTTCCACACAATCTGTCATTATCGCACAGAACTCATCGTTACGCTTGAATTTCTTTTCTGAGATCTTCATCTATTGTCACATGAGAAGATGCAGGTTTTTTTACTACGTAAACACCTTGTAACATTGCTTTATAGTTCATGTTTATAGTATTGTTTGATGTTATTATTGTAATGCCCGTTTTGTAGGTTGCTCGTCAAAGTAATATTCGATATATTCGTGGCATACCGTCGATCTTAACTCAACGCGGCAAGAAACTGATCAAGACACACTTCGATCTTGGAACCATCTACAGTGCAAGCCAGTATCCGGTAGACCAACGTCGGCTGGAACCTTCCTTATTCGAATCACGACCAATTAGTACCTCATCTGTACCGTTCAAATCCACTGAGCCAAAAATTTTTTAGTACGTCAACCGCGCCGACTTATTCACTGATGCCCCTACAGCCTTGGGCGAATTAGCGAGAAAGACACAGAACCATTAGATGAGACCTTTCTTGGCCCAGATCTATGACGCGCACGTCTCGACAAGTATTGCTACAATCGCAATACCCGCGCTTCCTTGTTTCTATTAATAATGTTTTCAGAGCTAGCCACATTCAATAAACTTCTTCAATAGTCACTCATCCGATATGTATCCAAACACCTCCATGATTTGAAATATAGAACAATCATTCTGACATTAATCTTCTTCAGATGAGCAGTTCCTGGCGAATGTATGAGCTCAGTTTTCGTCTAGTAATGTCTGGTTCGCTCATGATGTTTCAATAAGATTCAGTACTAGCTCATAGAACGTGCAAAGCCAGTTGGAGTAAGATTCCGGCAGCAAACACTCTATCCTTCTTACCACTTTTCCGTCTTTTATGTGGTCTTTCATGTATTGCTATTCACTTGATTGTTCTGAGCAGTAATCTATTATAACGCTGATCAGTTGCTGTCAACTCCTCTCCCCGCATAACCGACCTATCTACGTCACACTCCACAATCCGTCTCAAACTCGATATTATTGGGGGCCTGAACTCCAAAGTATGTAGAGTAAATGTCCAAAAAATCCTTGCGATCAAATGAACATGAAGATCGGTATGTGCTGATAATGTATCTAAAAAATCTCGGTATCTTTTCTGTCTTCATAGTAGTAATATTTGACAATATGACGATATAATCAATCAG